CTCTTCCAACAATGAAGCCGTTAGTTTGGCCACATACCAGCCCCTCTTGCCACTATTGCATCCCAGCAAAACAAGCACCACCCAAGCTATACGGGAGCTATTTGTAGCCACAGAGGAGGATACTGCATTTGACCCCTACGAAAGAAGAACAAGTATGTTGGCTTGTTTTTTTTTCTCTAATGGTGTCATTTATCACGATGACACATATTCATTGACTTAGTCTGAATTTTTTCAGTGTCAGATTTATACTACTTTGCTGCTTTGAATATTGATGCAGCACTTCCCTTACGTGACTATACTGTGTCTGCCAAATGGTGTCTAGACGCTAGAGCAGCTTTGACTAATTAGTGTTGTCACCCCAGTCACTCAGCTCTGGCATTTACGTACTCTTTATGTTACTGCTGTCGAACCATAAGTAGGTATCTGAACGCAAGCAGCAATGTAAAGAGAGGTGGTAGTGAGCATGTCCCATCTTCACTGAACATCACCGAGGTGGGCACAGAGGAGAGCAGTCATCTACAGGGCAAGTAGTGGCAACCACCCACCTGGACATCCCAGTGTATGTGCGTGTGGTCAGCTGGAGATCCAGGTTCAATGTCCTGCTTGGTCTGAAGATCACTGATGCAAGGGCAAGGCTGCGAGAGAAGACCTCTCTCTCTCAAGGCTCAGCCCCTGTGTACCAGCAACTAAAGCCAGAGAGAAAAAAAAGAACTACGAGAAATCACCTCCTGCCAGCCCAGAAAAAGTGGTATTTCCTGGGGAGGACTCATGGCTGGTTTGTAGAGCTGCCTTCCAGTAGGATGTGATTTACAACTGATCCAAACTAAAAATGGAGTTTCAGAATTTTTCTGCAACTTCATCATTTATATCATGCTTTTAAATGTTGCACCAGTACTGAAGCTGGGTTGGCCAACTTGAAAGAGGGAGAACTGATAAATATCAAAGATAATTTCAGAACATCAAAGAACTTTTACAAAACCTTGAGAGTAAAAAATAGTGAAAACTGAATCAATGTTGCCTACGCAACAGGCTGTGCTAATATAAAATCAAGTTGCCTCAAAAATTATATGCAGATTAAAGACAATGCTGCTATTAACAAAGATTATTTGTAAGCACAATTTAAAAGTTTTGATTTATCCTGCTGAGTATTTGAAGAACCACTATCATAAGGAAAACAAATTAACTTTGTTTTCTTTGTATTTTTGACTGTTACAAATTATTTTACTGGTGCTAATACAAAGCATTAGAGAATAGCAGTATCCTGCTGAGTATTTGAAGAACCACTATCATAAGGAAAACAAATTAACTTTGTTTTCTTTGTATTTTTGACTGTTACAAATTATTTTACTGGTGCTAATACAAAGCATTAGAGAATGGCAGGTTTGGGATTTTTTTCTCTTCTTCTCAGACAGTTTGTTGTTTGAGCAGATTTTCTTTGAATTTGCCAATAGGATTATTCTTATTTTTTCAGTTAGTGGTATACAAAATATTTAAAGCAAGCTTTCCCAAAGATCTGCATTTTACTTTGAGGAGATTTTCCAGGGCTAAGATAGGACTTTGTGGGGTTTTTGCCTTACAAAGAGAGGAATGTCTTTCAAGAAAGAAGATTTCAGTGTAGTTCTCTTCAGTTCCTTTTCTTTATGCAAAGGAAAGGAAAAAAATCATTAATGCTGCTGTGTACAAAGAGGATTTGTGATTCTTCAACACACACAAAAAAAGAAATTAATAGTTCCTTTTAAATTTGGTCCTGCTACTTGTTATTACAATAGAAAGCTGCCTGTCTCCATCCAGCCATGTAGCAAATAGATACATATATGTACATTGCATAGGTGAAATTCTGCACACTTGAAGGCACAGGTGTTGTGAATTCTGTTTGTTCTCTAGATGACCAAACTGCTCACTCAGGGGTTAGACACCTACCCACCAGTAACTACCTACAAGTCGCTTCCTGCTGTAGTTAGCACAGTATGTGTATTTTTTATAGCACCGCCGTCATCTGATTGATCTTTTTAAGCATCCCTAAAAGGATTGTCTCTTTTACCCAAACAGTTCTTATTATCATGTGCAATACTTTAGGATAAATGATTCTGTGTTCCTAATTAGGCTAATTGTCTCTCTCTAGATAAAGAGCAGTACCACTGCTTTGGTGTTGCTGATGAGCACACTTTCATCAGTGCCAGTCTACTGGAAATGTTTGGGGCTAGATCTTCAGTGAGTGTTAATCTGCAGATCTTCACTGAAAAAAATGGAGTTATTTTATGGCAGATGGCAGTCTGTCTCTGTTTTTATTTGCTGGCCTTAACTTTACCTCCAGTGGAAATGCACCCACATAAATACCAGGTGTAGTTAACAGCTCAGGAGAGAGTGAGAACTCCAATAGTATGGAGTTTGGATGGCTCGCTAGGGAGGAGGTGTATGATGATGTCCAGTAGTGCCTGGTCCAGAGCTATCTGAACTATATTTGGCTTATGAAAACTTAAATGTGCAACATTGTCAGATCATTACCTTTTATGACCACAAAAATTCTTTGGAAATTAACATAGAAATCAAGCTGTAGGCAAAACAGATCAGCAGAGCAATTTTTAGCCTCCTTTAGGGTTTACAACAAATAAATTCTTTAAGCAGACTGGGTAGTAAATGACTGGTGTTATTCTGTACTTATCAGTCCTTAAAAACATTTAGAGAAGAGGAATGTAGTAAATGATCTCTGGACCAATGCACCTAATAATCTAACGGAAAACTGGACGTTTAAGAATAATGAAATGGTCACAAGAAATGTTTTTCAGGATTATCAAGATGCTTATTGTATAATTGCGTCTCCAAAAAGATTTATTTGTGGTCATGTAAATAATTAAATCTAAGGAGCTGCTTTATTTTAGAAACACAAAAAATACTGCATGTACAGCAGGCTTGCGCTTTCTACCATGGCAAATGTTTTTCATACTAGATAGATGTAATAGCTTCTCTTCTGTCCTAAAACAGACTTCATCCAGGTATTAGTAGAATTTGTAAAATCCTTAGAAACTGTCAACTGTCTTTGTTCCCAGTTGCTCAGAAGGCTGGATCTGAGCCACTATCTTAATTATTGACTGAGAGAGGAATCACTGCAGTGACATAGGGTTTCCTTGCCCAGATTATCTTCATGGTGCTGCTATTTATCTCTTCCCATACCTTGCAATCCATTTCTTCTCAGCCTGTCCCCTGGTAAGTACAGTATATATTCACCAGCAAAGTAGAGATTTTATGGAAATTTAGAAATTTATGTATACATATAGGGCACCTTGAAGGATTGATGGAGACCTTGACTTTTTAAAGCTGTTAAAGGCAACTGGGTACAGAAGTCCATCTCAAGGTTATATGGTTAAATAAGGGAAGGAAGGGAATGAACAGCTTACAGTTGACTGTGGTTTGAAGGCAACCATGAATTTGCTGGTGTCAGTCCAGTCAGTGAGGGATGGAACTAAAAAGAGGTCATGAGAATAGCTCAGATAAATTCAGGTACAGTTTGCACACAGTCTATTTATAGGATGCTTTCTCAAACTAAGCCTGTGAATCTTTTGAAGTTTGCCCATCACTACGTTCAGGCCAATTAATGATGCACATCCAATCCCATTCTGAGATAGGTAAAACAATAAAGCAAACAAAGATAATTAGTCTCTGGAGCACGTAAGCAAATAAAATAAATCTCTTGCAAATCACTTGTTTGTGCTAACTTCTGTGGTTTTCTTGCAGAACTGAAAAAGAGCATTTATGTTGCAAATCTGCGTAATGCTAAAGCAGTGCTGAAAATGCATAGCTTATACTATTCTGATTTTGAGAGGGCTTTGCAAAGATTAAGCACCTGATCCTGAAACATCACTGGGAGTTGTTACATGCAAAACAAAAATTTTCATCCTTTTTTTCCACAGAAAAGGAGATTGAAGTTGGGAGGTTAAATAATATTTTTCATGGAGGTAAAGGTCTAAATTACACTTCATGAATAAACAAAAGCCACTGCTCCGAGTTTGCAAGTCTAAATGAAAGCACTAGTGGAGGTGAGGAGAGCAGGCCAAGGTGGGCAGGAGAGCAGCCCAGTTGGATGTGGGACCTTGACCCACCTCAGTGATGCCTCTCAAATTTTACAGACCTGGATGAGAGCATTATGTGGCCTTTAATGCATGAATAACCAGAAGACTTCCTGGCTGTTAGTCCTGTTCTTGTTTCCCAATGTAGCAGTGATCTGTTAGATGCAATACAGCTTCAGTCCTTGTCTTAAAGCACTTTCTGCAAGTAAGCAGTGCTCTTCCCCTCTTAGACATGGGGTGTGTGAGGTACATGAAGATAATATAGCCATTCAGCAGCAGAACTCGATACAGAGCATGTGTTCCCTTCTTCTCAGCCCTGGTCTCAATACTGTAGACTTTGAATAAATGCACATTTTACAAGAACAAATAGATTCTCAGTACCATGGCTCCTGGGGGGCTGTGGAGCCAACGCCAGCTGGTTCTGCAGGCGGTCCAGAGCAGGGGTAAGCCCATTCCCTGGAAACTCAGGGCAGTATCAAAGCAGGTCCTGCCTCAACTCATGTAGTAAGAGGAGTCTATGAGCACAAACATACAGTTTTGTGTAATCACTAAAACAGCAGAAGCTGTGTTCTGACTCTGTAGAGTAACAGATTCCAGTTAGAGTTCAGATCCATGCAAAAGGACTGCTCTTAGGATAAAATCACTCTTTGTCTTTTTTTTGGCATGAAAATCCAGAGCATTTCTTTTAGTGAAGGGCAGGCATTTCCCTGTTGTTCTGTCCCTTTTTACTGTTTTCTTACACTTTTTTCTTCTGCCTTCAAAAATGGATTCTGGAGAGAGATGTGCCTTAGAAAGACAGTCTCACGAGCTGAAATGTGTCCAATGTATATTTAAGTTAAAGAATATTAAGCCTTGTCCAAAACCAAAAAGAGTGTAAAAGGTAAGAATGCCTCGAGGCTTGATTTTTAAAGATATGCATTTTTCTTCATGTTGCAGATCTCGCCTTGCAGATTTCTTCACAAACTGCCAGCCCGAGTCACGGTCTGTTAGTAGCTGTCTGAAGGAGAACTATGCTGACTGCCTCCTCGCTTACTCTGGGCTGATTGGTAAGAAGGCAGGGGAGGGTGGGGGCTTGCTCAGCTTAAGAAAAACACCCAAACTGTATTTTGAAGGCCTACATGAAATAAAAACTGTGGAATATAATACTCTTCAATATAATACTAGGCAAAATTCTCCACCTAAGGGTATCGGCCCTTTTTTATCTTCCGGAGATTCCTGGGGTAAGTTTGTACATTGCAAGGAAATTAAGGATAGAAGATAAGGTGATTGAGTGAAATAAATTCAAGCTAACAAAGTAAAGCTAATTAAGACGGTTGAATTTGTACAGGATGGTGAAGCAGAAAGTTTAAAAGAAGTGAAACGGCAGCTTGGTTGATTTTGCAGCTGTCATCACAAGGTTGGGTAAATACCTTTTGGTCTTCAGGGGAAGTCTGCAGGACACGCGAGGAATGAGACAATAGACCAACCCAACCATGTTTCACTTCCAGCTGCTATTATTTCCATGACGTCCTTCGGTCCACTCTAAATGTTTTCTAAGATGCCTGTCCATGGAGGTGAACTGAGACCAAATTTATCTTCTGAAATCTCCTTCCCTCCCCAACATAATTAGTTTTGTTTGCTGTCACCTTCCTGACTGTCAACAGGCACAAGGCTGCTTTTATGCAAGCCAGATTCTATACACCACCCGCAGCATTTCATTCCTGAAAGAGAGAGATCATCTCAGGAAGGTGAACTTGTAGAAATACCATGGTTGGGCAATAAAGAATAAGTGAATGTCAAAATTCTGAAACAAACAAATTGTAAAGGCCACCAGATAAGATGTTTTTAAGCTTACAGCCTGCACCTGCTGCGATGCAGTAATATCCCCTTCTGTTGGGCATGAAGGTCCCAGCTGAGGCCCTGAAGCAGATCCTGCTGTTAAATAAATGTCTCTGGAGATAATATCCAAAATAAAATATTTCTAAAATAGGTTGGTTTTGCTGAAAAATGACTGAAAGCTATATTCACTGGCTTATTGTTATCATTCTTACTACTCTAGCAGCTAACAAGTGAGGTAAGTCCCTGTGGCAACTGGTAAAATAAGATCTGATGGTTTCAAATGATAAGCTTTTACGACTTAAGAGATGAAGACAGTATGCAAAGGGTATAACAGATGAACAGTTATGACAGAATGTCATTTGATTCTAAAACAAAGAATTGAATAGTCTTGAAATCTGATCTAGTCAATGACATGAAGAAGTCTAGCTGCTGGCAAAGAGTAATTGTTACTAATAGATACTTCAGGGTAAGACCCGCTGAGAAGTTCTTGCTGGACCTAGTGAATTTTGCTGGCAGTTTTGTTGGATCCATTTTTCGATGTAAGCCCAAGGGTGACCCAGTTCCAGTAGTCAGGTGTTTCTGTGTTACTGTGGATGACCGTGCCGCAAAACTGTCACACATCAGAAATGTGGAACGGATCCCTAAGGAGTTGAAATCAATAGGAGATCTAAATTTCTAAGGGAAAAATAATTATTTGTCTTCCTTCCTGCTAGCCCCTAGACACATGCAAAAAGGTGGGTACTGACTAGTGTTACGAGAGCTTTTACTTGGTAATACTTCTGATAAACCAAGGAAATTACCACAACAAAACTTTTATGTGCTGAAGCAGTAAATTCCTGCTTCTGATATCAAGCTGATATAAAAGTGGAGTAAATTATGTGAAGATCATCAAATTTGTAAGATGCTGAAATAGAAATCAGAGGTACAATCTCTCAAATATGTGCTTAATATATAAAACACAGGAAGAAGAGATAGATAGACTGTGGGTAAGAAGCTGTCACAGATCCATTCATTCATTAGAGCCTCAGGATCTCCAGGTGTTTTAATTAAGATAAAATATTGTTCATTAAGATAAAAAATTATTTCATTTAGCCAAATGTAGCAAAATTGTGCCTCCATAGAGTTTGTTCAGGAAATTGAGGATTCTCGATGGAGGGTACAGGGGATGTGATTCTGCTGTCGCATACATTGATGTAAATCAGAGTTAACTTCACTGAAATTACTGGAATCCCACCGGAAATAAATTACTTAAGTGGGAATAGAGTTAGGGAGTTTTTGTATCAGGTGCTTTACCAGTTAAATGGGGAACAGTCTATAAAGGATTCTTTAAGGTTTGCATCAAGATGCTATATGTATACCATTTTAAAGTATATTTTACAGGAATTTTGAAAATCTTAATTCATTGCTTTAGACTCTTTGTTATAGTAATAGGTAAATTCAGATTTTAAAAAAAAATTAAAGGAAACCTATAAAAATTATTAAATGTAGAATAAGATTGAAGATAGCTGTGTTTGAGATGCAGTGCTTTGGCTACAGCCTAGTTAAGCCATCTGGACCTGTCCACACTCCTACATCAGTTAGGTATTGCTCTAACTGCGGACTTCAAGACCTGCCTTATCATTCACTTTCTGACACCTTTTCACTTGTTTTCTGTAAAATCCATCTAATTTCCCTGAGATTCCCAGGAATTACATTAGATTTTATGTGAATAAACTGGAGTTGCATTGGGCCAAAGGAATTTAGCCACATGCCCCTCCTCCTGGACTTACCATGCATCCCCTCATTCTTAATTGGCCCTAATTTGAGCAACCTCTTAGTTGTGTTCAGGTCAAGTCTGCTTCTGTCTAAAATATGGCGACCCAACTGCCTGCTACTGAGACTGTCACAGAAATATTTGATAGAGAGAGCGCAGAAAACCAAGCGTGTCCTATTTTACTGCCAACCACCATGGTTTCTCTGATCCGTTAGTGTCCTTCAGCAGAATTTCCAAGATGCCAGCTAGCGGGGGGAAGAGGGGAAGGCACACGCATTGCAAGGAAAAAAGAAAATCCACCCCAGGAAACCAAGCATATAATCCGCTTGGGTTCACATCTGCCCCCAGGTTTAAATGACAGGCTGATTTTCTACTAGCTGCTCTTTCAGCCACTCTGTTTTTGCTGGATGTACAGTTTGTGTGCTGTGTGTACACATTCCTTGTCCTGTCTTTTCTGCATTCATCAACCCCAAAAGTAGCTTCATATCTGTTACACTTTTAGCCCCTGTCTTGACCCATTTTATTACTTTATTGCCTCTTCATGATAAGAAAGTCTTACCTCAGTGACCTTTTTAATTACCTCAATACTTTCCTGGTTTTTTAACCCTTAACTAGGCATTTGCTACTTAGCCTTTTCTTTTTTTTTTTAAGCCTACTGTTTTCTTTCCATTTGCAAAATCCTCTTGATTTTCATTTTCTCTCACTTCTTTTCAGATTATGTTACATGGTTGAAATAGTGTACTGAACCATCAAATGGATAATGGCCAGATATTTTCATTTGGACAGATATTTTCATTTGTTTTATTTTAATTTAACATCATTCCTCTTCTTATTTATTTACTGTCAAGTTTCCATTAATAGTGCAAATTATGTTTGCCTATTTTACTAAATTCTCTGCCTCTGCTTAATACATCTTGACCTGTGCTATTTACTCACGTGCTTATCTCATGTAGAATGTGAGCAATCATTACTGCAACTATCTGTTAAAAGCTGGAAGTAGATAAAGGTGTGGGATTGCATTCTAATTTAAGAACATCCCAAAACAAGACAAAAGATGCTTTTTGTGAGTTTGGCAGTGGGACCGCATTCATTTTCACATACATTACTGCCTTTCTCAGGCCAGCCCTTAATGACTCTTCTCCTTTGTCTCCCATGTCATGTATGAAGCGATTTGCATGTTGGTCTGTTCAGTTCCCAGCTCTGCCTGGTGTCTGAAAGGCTATTTGATGTCATGCTGTGATTTGTGTTATTTCTAATGTTTCTTTTTTAGTTTGGTGTTTCGTAGCACTTTCCTGTGTGTTACTGCAGACTCTGGGACCCTGGACCCACGGACCAAATTTTTTCTGCTAGTGTACACTTTGGGTCTCTTTATATTTGTCCTTCATCTATTCTGTCTAGTGACTACTTTGATGTCAGTTTTGAGGAGATGTGATCACGCTGCCTCATGATACCAAGAATGTAGATTACCTAGTGAGGAACATGTTTCCTGAAAAAGCTGTCATCAGTACGAGTCTGGAATACCCTCCCTTTTTTATTTATTTTTTCCTCTTTGATCAGAGAAATAAAATAAAGTTTCAAACTTCTCGATCCTTAGGGGAGTTTGAAATCTGACCTGCTGGGGTGATGTCTTCAGTGAGATTACTGGTCTAAGTGCTGATCATGTAACAGTTGCCTGACTGATGAGCAGTTGCTGTTTATCTTTTAGGAGACAAAAGGAATTCTTTGGTTTCATTTCATTCTTGGTAGCCTTGAGTTGACACATAAATGTGCCAATATTTACCCAAGAATTTGTAACAGAGTTAGAGTGAAGCTGCGGTTGCAAGTTGTTGACGATGTTTAGGAAACAATCACTGTATTGAAAACGCAGTGACACAGCAAGATGAATAGTAATTTTATTACCTGCAAGCAATCTACTGTAGTGTTTTATGCATGTTCGTTAAGTTTTTCCTTTGTTCACTGTTAGTAGTCCCTAACGAGCACCTTGGGGTCAGTGCTCCTCCAAGACATATTAGGGCTCCTCACAGCGTGACTGGTGTTCTCCTCGCTCATGTGCTTCAGAGCTGTTTCTAGGCTGGCTGCAGACCCAAGGAGGAAGCTCAGGTCTGCATGTCTAGCTTCAGCCATTTATTTGCAGTTTAGGACAACAATGAGGAAAAACACAAGCGAGGAAAAAAATTGGATTTTTAGAGTGCAACTCTAAGGTCCCACCTATGTTTGATTTAGCAGCAAAGCCCTTTGAAGAGGTTCCCACCTTCTCCCAATCCATCCTTGTCGTTTGTCACAGTTTTCCACCTGTCAGTTCTGCTGATGCAGCTCTCTGCGGGAATGCAATCTAAACCTTTTGGGAGGAAAAGAACAGGTCTTTAATGCGTGAGTCACGTTACAGTCCCTAAAGTGCCAGCATTCAAACAGCCAAGGGTGTAAAATACAGCACAGGGCTGGGTGTCCAAGGGCAGAGGCAGCCAGGTAGGTCTGGGAGTCAGAGCCCTGCCACGGGTCTGTATTGTGAATCCAGCTCTGAATACACGACTTACCAAGTGCTGTCTGTTCTCTTCTTAGTATGGAAACAATATTTCAGTACAAAAGTTGCTCACGGTGCTGCACTTCCCTCTTTGTTCATAGGCACAGTGATGACACCAAACTACATAGACTCAAACAGTCTGAGCGTTGCCCCGTGGTGTGACTGCAGCAACAGCGGAAACGACATAGATGAATGCGAGAAATTTCTGAATTTCTTCCAGGACAATACATGCCTTAGTGAGTACAAAATTAGATGTCTTTAAATATGTTTCAGCATGTTTACCAGAATTTCTTTACCGTTTAAGTATGTCGCGTTACATCGAGGCTGTCTCTTTGCGCTTTGTAAGGCACGGTTCTGCTGTAGGTGTAAGAATTAAACAGATGAGCAAATATGCCTGATACTGTGGTTTATGGCAAAGATTGCAAACATGAGAAGCTCTTGGAAAAAAATTCAAATAACAAATTTGTGTCCAATAGAAATATGTTTACAACACAGATCATGTTCGGACCCAAAAAGTCAGGCAGCATCTGTACCAAAAAATTGCACCACCTAAGGGGCTTCTGTATAATTTTAGAACTTCATATAAAAAAGACATGTAGTTTATGATATGAAGGATTTGCTGTAGGTAAGTATAAATTGGATTGTGTTTGCAATTTATAGCCAAGCTTCAGGTTTTTTAGGCTGCTTGATCTCAGATGCCTGGTTTTAACACAGGTCTGACTGGTACCTATTTTCAAGATTTTGTTAAATTATTGATTTTCTTTTTCAGTCAAACTCACTTCCAAATTAGGGACTATTATAAAATTCAGAATGGCTCAGTGGAGTCGATTTTGGCAGGTTCTCTTTTCAAATTTCCTGTCTGCCTGGAGCAGCATAATTGGATGATGTGCAGCGTGCATCAGAGTTTTAATTTCAGATAAATGAGGAGACCAAAAGAGCTTGGCTTCCCTAGCCTAGCAGAATAGAAGTTGAAAGGATACGTGATTGTTCTTTGAAATTGCATTAGAGGGGCAAGCCCAGGGAGGGAAAAGGATTACTTAACCTAGAGGACAATGTTGGCACAAGATCAAAATTGGAGGTGTCGGCCATACGTATTTAGGCTCGAAATTGGAAAATTTTTAACCATCAAACTAAAGTTAAGAAATAGGCTTCCAGCAGTAGTTCTGAGGGTAAAAAGTTTTTACTGGTTTCAAAAGTCAAGTTTCATTTGGCTTATGAAAAGAAGCCTGTATCATTGCTTTTTTCAAAAATAGCGAATGAACTTGATAATCCAGACTGTCCCATCCAGCCCTATATACTTGAGCTAATGCTAATGCAGGTTCAGTCTGTATTTTAGTATAGTGGTCTGAAAATCTCTGTTGGCAGCTTCTCAACAGGCAGCATGTTGTGAAGACATGGGGAGGTTTGTGTAGAAAAAGTGAGTGACTTGAGTTGGTATTTGATACACTATATTTTAAGCTTTGGAAGAATGAATCAATTGCTCAAGATAATTTAACAAAACAACCCAGAAAATAATTCAGGCTGTGATTAGGTAAAAGTTAATAATATAGTATCAAAACTTCTTCAAAACTAATGGGACTGGCATTTATATATGCTGCAATACATCAGATTTTATTCATTTGTGAATGTATTAATTGCTAGAATGTTACAGGTTCCTTTTAGAACATAAAGACAGAGTGATCCCCTGTCCTTTCTTTTGCTATCAGTATAAAATCATTAATGAAGACAAATCAAAGACATTAGAGGTTACTGTGAGACAAATTATAGTCATCCTAGCTGTAAGAGATGTCTTCTTCATGAAGAAATTAAAGTTTTTTCTGGTTTCATAAAAAGTTTTTTCTCTTACAGAAAATGGGGAAAGTTCTGATTTTTTTTTTTAATTGTTATTGTCCTTAATGGGCCTTACAGTGCCTGAAGAAAATGTCATTTGTTTATTGGATGAGATTAAAATCCCTCCTACTTTTTTTAGACCAAACAAAAATCCTTTTTTCACAATGGGATGAAACTAGGAATTTTTTACTAAAGTATATTTCCCCTTCAAACTGGAAAATAAACAAGTGATTTGGGGCATTTACAGAAGATATGGAAAACTTAGCTTAAATGTTTATTCTATATTGAAAGTGGAATAGCTGAGACTGTACCCTGAGGGCCAGGGGGCTCAGAAAGCAGGAGACCCATGATCCCATTCATACTGAGCTCCATGTGGAGCTGGGATATGAAGCCGAGTTTTCCATGTCCCCCATACACACCTGAAATCCTGGTCCTGTGTGCACTTGCCTAGAAGCTCCCCTCTAGAGCTGAAAAGCCTTTTGCAACAGATGGTAAGCTGAAACTAAAGTGGAAGTTTTGATTTCCAAAAGTGGATGTGAAAATTCAAGTGAAAATTCCGGTCTGTTTTAACAATTACTCCCAATAAAGACAAAAATTGTACTGTCTATCTGTTCAAAGGATTTGCGCACATGTGTTTTATACTGCAGTAAAAAGAGTTGACAAGTAGGAGAAAAAGCATAAAGCACTGAGTTAGTTAATAAAAATTATTGAGAGGACCTTTATTTGAGCAGTTAGACACTTGAAGCACCTCCTTGCAGTCATTATTTTTTTTGAAATATGTATGAAAATTATATATTAAAATACATATTTAAAACATCTGTTTGAAATATTACAAAAATATGAGGAGGAATGGAACACCTCTCCTATGAGGGAAGGCTGAAAGAGTTGGGGATGTTAATCCTGGAGAAGAGAAGGCACTGGGGAGACCTTATTGCAGCCTTTCAATATTTAAAGGGGGCTTATAAGAAAGATGAGGACACACTTTTTAGCAGGTCTTGTTGCGATAGGACAAGGGGTAAGGTTTTGTACTAAAAGAAGGTAAATTCAGGCTAAATACAAGGAAGAAATTTTTTACTCTGAGGGTGATGAAACCCTGGCACTGGTTGCCCAGAAAGGTGGTAGATGCCCTGTTCCTGGAAACATTCAAGGTCAGGTTGGATGGGGCTCTGAGCAACCTGACCTATTTGGAGATGCTCCTGCTCATGGCAGGGTGGTTGGACTAGATGGCCTTTAAAGGTCTCTTCCTACCCAAACTATTCTATGATTCTATGAATCTGTCATAAAATCATAGAATATCTCTAGTTGGAAGGGACCCATAAGTATCATTATGGTGGTGCAACTTCCCCATTAATAAATTCTGAATTTCTGATAAATCTTAACTGTGTTAAATGTTTCCATCTGCAACAATCACCAAGTAGGAGTCTATGAAATAATTAAAGAAGATTAATTGTAAAGATCGCTTTTACTTAGAAAACTGAAAGGATTGTATATGTTTCTGTGATCCTTCTTGCAATAATGGAAACAAAGAGTTACAGTTAATTTAGAAGCCATAGGAAAATACTGCTTTATTTATTGCCTTATTCATGTAAAACCAAGAAAAATATCATTCCACTCTTCCCACTTTGTCTCCATCAACCCAGCTGATTCTTGTGTCTTTTACAAATTCTTCTCTTTGCATGTTGCAGTTCTAAGAACTAATATCAGAATAAAATACATCTTTTTTTTTTTTTTAGATGAGAATTAAATGTAAATTATTTTATAAGGCAAGGAATACCACTGAGAAGAAGTATTAATAACTTCCACATATTAGTCCCCAGTGAAATTGTTTGATTTCTTGTACAAAGAATTTGAAATAAGAAATCCCTAAATCCATGTTGAATCCCTAAAGACCTGATTAAAACTGTTTTTCTATTTGTTTATAAAAAACCCCAACCAATTTATTCTTGCCATAAACACACTCTTTAATCCCATGAAACTATGATAAGCTTTTTAACTTTTATATTCTAAAGTTTTAGTTTAAGTATGCTTCCCTCACCTAATTATGCAGATTTTGATTGAAAACTGTAAGGAAAAGATTGTCTTAGTTAAACCATTTTTTAGTTACAGGCATATTAGTTTTACTGCAACAAGCTGTAGAAATAAATTAATCTTTTGCCAGCTCTCTGTTTTTAGTTTCCTATGTAACATCACCTCCCTGAATTAGGACATAACATTGAAACTGTATTTTAAATCTTAAAAGTGAATTTTTGAGGCTTTTGGATGGTAACAAATATGATTACAGTAAGTCCTAGAGCTTCTGTCAAGAATTACTGGGAACATTACAAAGAGGAGGCTGCACCAGATAATTATGTGACCCCAGACTCTCAGTTCATGTTTCTGATATGTTCAAAATTAAGACACATTTTTCAGCGTAAAAATTGAATTTCTATAAATATGCATTTTCAGTGGAATAATAATAGCAGTGATTAAAAAGTCAGTTCTGCATTCTGCTGTTTGTTTAGGAGTAGAAAATTGCCTGTGATTTATTTTTACAGAAAATGCAATTCAGGCCTTCGGCAATGGTACTGATGTGAACGTGTGGCAGCCGATCTTACCAGTACAGACCACTACAGCCACAACTACAACAGCTTCCAGACTTAAAAACACAGGTTCAGAGACCACCAACAATGAAATACCCACCCACAACGATTCACCAGCATGTGCAAACCTGCAGGTAAGAGAGTCATGTACTTGTTGCAGTGCATAAATAAAAGTTTTTCATAGATATGTATTCTGCATAAGTAGATGCCTGCTTAAATTGGAATATCTCTTTATGCCCAGGTTGTAGTTACGATCCAGATATATTACTCTTATTTTAAATCAAAAACTGCATATTTCAAAGTGGTCTTTATTGCCTCTCTGACTCTGAAACAGGGCACAGTATTGAATTTGTTATCACAGGTTTAGATATGAATGTGCCACTCTCCAGTCCCTGCCAGCATATGTCAGATTAAATTAATACCCTGAGTAATCCAAATGCAGTGGGAACTCTTAATGTCAGCTAGCATGTCCTGCTGCCTCCTTTCTTATGTTATTGGCAGTAAATTTAAGAGGTTTTTTGGCCGAGTAGGTCTAGATATCAGAGAATATGTGTTGCTACAAACTACATGGTGTAGAAGCTGGACAAAGATAGAAGCTGTTTTGAATCAGGTACTTTCCTGAGCTGGGAGTCAAGGTCGTGAAGTCGTTTTGGCCAATGGCTGTAGCGATTTTTTTTGACATTTCAATTAAGCTCTTCACGGTGCGTCATTGATTCTGGGTTTAAAGAGGCTTGTCACTTGCTGAAGGGTGTGTGCAGCTCTTAGAAAGTTTGAAGAGCTTGGGCAGGAGACAACTGCAAAATCGAGGCAGGAAAGTGGTAATAGGAAATGTGAGATGAAAACATCCTTAGGGCAGGGGTTATAAAAATTTCTGGTGGTCTGCACTCAAAATTAGGTAAGGGTTAGATGAGCTTGGCCTATTTATTTTTGTCTTACAGAAGGAAAATTGCTATGTGACGCAAATGAAAGTGTCCAAGTTTTAAGGTCTCATCTGGTATTATGATACTTCTTTTCTGGATTGCCAAACTCCTCCACACTCATAGCTTTCACATTTCACTTACTTTTAAAAAATTGATTTTATATTCTTTGCATTAAACTGTATCAAAGTTTCCATGTACACTAAAATGGACAATTTGTTTCCCTCGGAAATGTATTTTGCTTCTTAATTTTTCCTGCACCACTCTCACATCTTCATCCTTTCCTGGTTTTTCCATTTATTTTGCCTTAGCTCATTGCATATGAATTAACATTTATTAGAGGCATTATGGAGTCACAAAGTGTGGGGTTAATGGTAGGAGGTGTTGAGCTTAGGTCCTTCTGGTTAAATCTGGTTTTCGTACCTCTGCATTCATTATTTGTTAAGCTCTGTAAGTTATTGATGAAGGGGAGATAATATTTCTGTATGGTCACTTGACCAAATAGAATATGCTAAAATGTTATGTAACCTTTTAAACCTGTAACTTGGCACATCTTATATTTAAATCAAGACCTTGATGGGATATTATTAATTCACTTCATGTTACATTAAAATGTTGTTTTATGGGAGCACGCTCTCCTTCAGTGCTTGTACAGTCCCCTATAGAGTAAGGCCTCCAGATGCTACCAAAGTACACATGATAAATAATGAACTGAAGAAATGGCAAGCGATCACAAATCTCATTGGATTCAGTTTGATTTGCAAATGTTCCTCAAGGCTGAATAGATGTTCCAGTATTTTGAAAATTAATGAAGTTCTATCTTGTCCTTGCTCCTGTTACTCTGGCATTTTGAAGTCACATCCCACGTGCGTTTATCAGCGCTGGTTTAAAGCTCTGTTACAACTTCAGGTGCACCCCTGATATACTTGACACAAGACGTAGAGGTCTGTAGGAAAAACAGCTTCTTTCAAATAAATGATCTCTGCTGTTTTGTAGAAACTATAGATAAGTTTGCACTGAAAGGTCACTGAAGTTACGTGAGTCAAGTAGTTTTATTCTTGTGAAATACAACATTCTGGGGCTTGCTACTTCCTTGTGTCAGAACTGGAACATGAAGAGCAAAGCTCTTATATTTTAATGTATTTTTTTTAAAAAAAAAACAACTTATGAATAGAACCAAAACAAGCCCACAATTTTTTAAAAAGAAACCTGTGTTTGTTGGACAGTATGGTGCCACTTTGCATGTGGGACTTAAACCGCAATGCAAATTTTACAAAAGAACTGGAGGCATTCATATCGCTCTTGGAGAAGGGTATTCATTCCAAGGCTCTCCTCCCATGAAAAATATGCCTTTGTAGTATTTTCAAAACATGAACTAGTACGACCAAAAGCAATCTGAAGGGCTTTGTTGTGTGCTTAGCAGTTGAGCTGAAAGGTTTCAAAAAGGCAATATAGCCTAAACGCTGTGAAAAGTCAAATTAAAAGCATTAGTCTCAGCACAGAAAGACAATGGCAGAGAGGGGATAAGGAAATGATCACTGAGATGCTACGTGGCTGCATATCCTAGTTAGCTGGTTTAAAAATAGGGTGAAGGAAGAAAGAGCAGGAAGTGATTGATTAGTATAAATTGCCATAGAAATAAATACAGTAAGGGAAGAAAGAGCAGGAAGTGATTGATTAGTATAAATTGCCATAGAAATGAACAAATACTAACCTCCTGGGGTTGCAAAATACGGGGCACTAACCCAATCTGCCAAGAGTGTTGCTGGCTGAACAGTTTTTGATACATTTTTTTTTCTGACTTGTTCAGAATGGTTGTATGAAAAGCAAGAATACGCTCAGGGTTTTGTCGCTGTGCCATGTTCTTCTGCACACATGCAAACCTGGGACTGGGAAGGGTTGTGAATGCTTAAAGAAAATAATGAGATACTCTTTGTTTACCTGTACTCGATATTTATTTCAAATAGCCCTTGAAGGTTTGGACTTTGAAATAATTTTTTTTCAGTCATGCTGTTTAGAAATTGTTCTTCATTTCAATTTACCAAGACTGCAAGAATTTAAAGTTTTCCCATTATGGTGGTATTTTCTTATTTCAAATCAATACAGAGAAATATTGATTTCTAATACATATGCTTATTTTATGTTTAGTTTTAATTTAATTTTAAATTATTTTTATTTTATGTTTATGCTTCTTTTATGTTTTCATATGCATGGATTTGTGTAATATACTCTTTCTTTCTTTCCCTAAATTAAATCAGCACTCCAGCTTTGCTAGGAAGATGCTTAACTTCATCAAGCATCATATAAACTCTTCTACAAACCTAGCTTCTAACAAAGTTTGCTAAACACAGAGAGTAAATAGCAGTTAGTTTATACAAAATTCTGAATTCAAGCATTGAATTCAAGCAAGGTGCTTGACAGCTTGAAAAGGATCCTAGCACCACTTAAAAATAATTTATAAAATATTGTGAACAAAAAGAGGGTGAATGCCAACAGTGTTCTCCTTATGCAGGCATATTTTATTAAGTAATTGCCATCCCTATCTTTTTTTTTTTTTGATTGCTTTGCTCTGATGTTTTCTATTTAACTGACATATTTGTTCATCCTTCATTCTCAATTGTAACTTGTTTTCAGTAGGCCAGTCAAAAAATGGTTATGGTCTTTCAGTCTCATGTTCTACCACCGCTGCTTGAACCGTCATGTTGGATTATTTGAAAAGAACAAAAGAATGAGTTTGGATGTGTACTCACACCATGTATTCTTCAAGAAAAATGCTGGTTTTGCATTTAGGAGAGACACATGGAACTGAAAGATGGTAATGAAATAAACTCCAAGTGATAGATTAGACAGGATTAGACAAATTGTTACTCCATCATCATCAGAGATAAATAAAAAACCTAAGATTTTCATACTGGGTTTGCTGTAATATTTTAGAGGACATTTTGCAAGGGACAAAAATGATAGAAGTCAAGATGGTTAAGGACACTTAAATCTAAATTTATATATCGAAATCTATCAGCTCCTTAGCTAGTTCTGCACTTTGTTTTCTCATGTTTGTTATAAATGTCTTGCTCCAGTTAACCTTAGTTCAGCATTCAGAGAGAATTTAAAGTTTTTCTGCTTTTGAAGAAGTGTGAGCAGTGGGTACATGTAATTGAGACACATGGCCCTTCAGGCTGAAGGCAAGTACTTTTCAGTCAAGTCCAGTATGTGAATGACTTTGTTCTCTCAGCAGCAAAATTAAAAAATTATGAGATAGGAATTAAAGAGCTCAGACATTTTGTGGGGAACAAGGAGGAAAAGTGAAATCTAGAGACTTAAATATGTTGATTCTTTCTATTTACATGTAAGATCAGCGAGTGTTTAGAATAGACATGGGTCATATCACAAGCTGTTCTTCCACAAATCCACATAACTCCACATAAACTTGGGACTTTAAAAAATATCTATTATGGTGAGTTTCAGGACAAGAACAGGAGACAGTGCTCGCAGTTCTCTGGGGAGACTAGGACTCAAACATGACTCACAGGCTGAAAATGACCATGCTTTTCCCTTGTAGGTCTGTTCTGTTGCAGATCTTCAGCACTTTGTAAGGATCTGCTAATCTGGTGTTTGCAGTACTGTCTGTAATTAATGTAGCTTCCTGTGTGCTAAATATTATTATTATAAAGCATAGTGTAGGTGTTTGGAGAGGGTTAAAAGCATCAGCATAGTGTTCTGAGGATCAAGACACAGCGGGTGTGGAGCTTCAGGGCTGGTAATTGGGTGGTGGGTGAAGGTAAGCAGGAACCGCGGGCAGCATGTAGGTGTGTTGTTGATGAGGGGACGGTACATCTGCTGAGACTTTACTCTGGAATAGAGACAAAGGGAACTTGATTTATCCCCTGTGGACCAGTATTAATTCGAGACTTTACTCTGGAATAGAGACAAAGGGACCTTGATTTATCCCCTGTGGACCAGTATTAGTTCGCCCATATGTCTGGCACCCTCTTCTCCCCATCCCTTCCCACAGCCTGTGATCTTTCTGTTTCTTTTGTGAAAACAAGTCCTTTCAAATGCCCCGTTTGCTTTGTCCCTTGGGAGAAGTTGTACTTGGACCTCTTCCTCCAGGCATTGCAACTAAGCAGAAAGTTATAGTCTGGGGCAAAAGATGGACAGGAATATAAAACTCCCAATGCTGTGCCTGAACAAAATAAAAAAAAAAAAAAATAGAAAAA